GATATCATCAGGTTGTTGTGTTCCCCAGGTTTTGGAGATTTTGGATGCATTCACTGACTAATTTTGATGTGATTCTTTTACACGCTAATACTTTTGTGGCTGCTTGGCTATCTAATCTTATAAGGATTTTTTTGGCAGTATAACTTCTTTTAAGATTTTCCAGGGCACAAGCATTGATGGAAAGTATTTCTGCTTGAAAGACCGAAGTGTGCTTCCCTAATGAGTTTCATTGCTCATGTTTTTGGCGTAGAGAAAATGCCCGATCCGGTTCCTTCGTTTGTTTTGGAACCATCTGTGTACCATATCATTGTATCTGATGCTCTCCTGTGTTCTTCTTCTCCTTTATAGTCCGTTGAGACTTTATAGGAAATTGTGAAGATTGTTTCCGGGATCATAATCGGGGGACAATCAGTCCCCATTTCTAATAATGGGTGTCTGATTTTGTTGATTATGGTTGTATGCCCGAATTGTTTAGTTCCTTTCCAATTTAATTGTTTCTGGAGCCTAAGTGAGCTTTTCCTAGCCTCTCCTTGTATGAATATTTCCAATGGAGGTAGGTTTGGCAAAGTTTCTAATGCATTTGTACCTGTTAATAGTCCTATCACTCCCCTGAGCCTGGCGCTCTCCAGATGCAGCAGTGATTTTGATAGTCTTGGTGAGGGTTTCGTCATAAGCGCAGCTAGAGTTTATCCTTTGGATCCATTCTGCTATAGAGAATTCTATATTTGTTTTTGTTATCTCAGGTACAGGTTCGGGGCCTGTGTATGGTCTTGCAGATCCTCCTCTGGTCAGTCTGCTTTTTCGTTACCCAAAATTTCTCTGTGCCTGACACCCAAGATCAGGTTGTTGTGTTTCCCCAGCGTTTGGAGATTTTGGATATTTAAATTTTTATGGAGCTTTGGGATCATTTTAATGTAAGCAAGTTTCCATTATACGGGAAAGTGTGTAGTTCTCAAAATTGCTTTAAATAAAGAAATCAGAAAGAAACGGAATAAGTGATCTTGAATTGATCCAAATTCCTACTGACAAACTTTGTAAACATTTAACAAAATTCTTTTTTATTAAATTGTTTTATGAGGAAAGCTAATTTACGATTTTACGCCCATAAAAAACAATATTTTGGTAATTATCCTGTCGAAACAAAATTGAACAAATATTAAGTATTTAAGGGGCCGAGAGTAGGCTATTCCGGAACAGCAGGTCAGTTTTGACCTAACTCTAACCGAAAAATTATACGGCGAACACACTTCACCCCCGAAAATTCATTAAATTAACACAAATATTTTTATATTTCCATATAAATCTACTAAAACGCATCTTTGTTCAAAAATAAAAATTGGAGAGCTAAGAGGAGAGTTTAGTCACTTTAAATAGAATTTCATTGCATTATTTTATCTGCCGTTACGTTATGGAAAAATGTAGAAAGCACGCGATAAAATCATGAATGAGTATTACTACGGTTTACGTGGAATTATGATTCATGAATGATGATGCCGCGGATGGTGCACCATAAGAAAAAAACCATCGGTTAGTTCAGCAGAAACGGAATGTCACCTTTTCGGCGCCAAAGATGCGTCACTTCGTCATTGGTTGATTTTACTATATAAATCATTTGTTGTAATAAAATATATTAAATGTACAAAAAATTCAGAGATGTGTAGTGAAAAGAATATCGATGACAAACAGGCCAATATACATACAAATACATTAGCATATAAAATCTTTTAATGCGATTTGATAGAAAATAGAAAGATAAAGGTATCCCCGGTCCGCTTGATCCCGCTGCAACACAAAACATAAAATCTGTAATGGGTAAAAACCTTTTGGCAAAGCAATCTTTCACGTGGACAAAAAATACTTCTTTTCCTTTTCCAGTAAAGACAATTACATATGGACCGATTTAGCAAAACGCCCCAAATGGAAATAGACGGCAGGACGAGAAACGACTTCTGGATAAATAGATAGGAGCGATAAGGAGTCCGAAGAGCGGAATTGATTATTGGAACAGGAAGGAAGGAAATAAATTGGCCCTTTCTCCCAGACTGGATCGGATAAGGGCCGGGCATTCCGCTCACGCTTTTCCCTTATCTCGGATTGAGCCCACACCTCCCTTCAAACGGGTAAATCTCGCCCTTTCCACCCCTTTACACTATGGAGAATCCCTCGACCGGCCTTTCACCCCTTATAATCCACTCGGCCGGTAGTAGTTTAAGGATTGTTTCCTTGCCCTCTCATTGAAGTATTATTTATTAACCAATTATGACAATTTCCTCAACTTGGTTTAAACCCAGTTCATTAGTCACCATGTGCAACTCAACTGAAATTTTTCAAATTATCTTGAACCGATTTCCAAAGATAAACCTAGTTTAACTTCGAACTGTCGTCGGGCGTGATTTAAACCCAGCTCAGAGTTATGCGACGTTCATTTCATACTATAAACTTCTTAAGAAATAACAATTCACCTTTTGATAAACGATTTGAATCAGTTTTTGTTCCCTCTTTCAATTAAAAATTATCAACATTTGATATGAAAACCACCACCAGGTTTTTAGTTAAAATAAAAAAGTCAATGTCACGAGCGGGATTCGAACCCACGACCTTCGGCTTGATACGCCGCTGCTCTACCACTTGAGCTATCGTGACTTCGATCCACTCGGACACTAACTTCCCATCTCAACCCCACCTTTTGAATTTTCCTTCTTTATAGTTCTTTTTTATACATGGCTCTAATCGTGAGAAAGAAAAAGAGAGATATTTAAAGATAGATAAATAATTGTCAGAGAAAGTGAAAAAGAAGGAAAGGGAGAGGAGAGGAAGAAAGAAAGTATGACTGCCAGACAAAGGGAGAAAAAAAGAGAGAGAAAATGACCACCAGCAAGAGGGAAAGAAAGAAAGAATGACCATTATAAAGAGGAGAGAGAGAGAGAGAGAGAGAGAGAGAGAGAGAGAGAGAAAAAGATAGAAAGGGAGATGATGATGATGATAATGATGAATTCTTTATTTATCAATCAAAGATGATTTGGTCTCGAGGACCATTCTTACATCTAATGTGAAATACAATATAATTAATGTTTAATAAATTTAATCGAATAACCTTATTTGTGTGGTCAATATGCTCCATTTATTCATTTTACATTGAACTTTTACTTAATATTGCTTATCGAAATAAATATTCTAATTTACATTACATAATTGAGCAGTTAAAAAGCGAATTACTAATCAAATAAAATAAGTGAAAAAAAAAATACTTTTCAATACAATGCAGTACAAATCAGGAATTATAAATTACCAATATAAATCAGCAAATAAAACTTTACTCACTGAATATTAACATAAAAAACTAACACAAGACAAAACAACAAAAGAAGTTAAATTTAAGACATCAATCATACCTAGATAAGAGATGATTTTTAAGACTATTCTGGAAGGCGAGAGATATATATACTCTGGAGAGAGAGATGTACATAGAAAGAGACAATGAGAAAAGTAGAGAAAAAGAGAGAGACAGTGAGAAAGAAAGAGAAAGTGAGAAAGAAAATGACCAACCACAAAGAAGAGAAGCGAAGAGAAAGAAAGAATGACCTCTCAAAAGAGAAGAGAGTGTAAGAAAGAGAGAGAGAGTGAGAAAGAGGGAGAGAGAGAGTGAGAAAAAGGGAGAAAGAGGGAGGGAGGGAGAGAGTGAGAAAGAGAGAGAGAGAGAGTGAGAAAAAGAGAGAAAGAGAGAGTGAGAAGGACAGGGAGGGAGAGAGAGAGAGAGAATTTACCACAAGCAAAGAAAGAGAGAAAGAAATAAAGAATGACCACCAGAGAAAGAGAGAAAGCATGATTCCCTGAGAGGGAGAAAGAAGGAGAAAGAAAGAGAGAGAGAGAGAGAGAGAGAGAGAGAGAGAGAGAGAGAGAGAGTAAGTGCGAGAGAAAGAAAGAATAAGCGTCAATAAAAAAGAGAGAACACAAAGAGATAGAGTGAGAGACGGGGAGAAAGAGAGAGATAGAAAGAGAAAGGGAGAGAAAAAATTGAAAATGCTCAACTTTTGAAAATTACCGAATGTTCTTTCTTAAACATGCCTCTAACCGTCTTGTTTTTCTAGGTGAAACTTAATTGAACTAGGTTTAGTAAAACGGTGGAACGAAATTATGTACGAGGTTTCCAGTGAACCCAGTTTAAACCGTGATTTGTGCCCTTAACCCACCCCTTCTCTAATTTTAACCTATCTGGTTAGCTTTTACTTTTTATAGTTCATACTTTCCATATTTTTGTTTTAGCAGCAATATTTACTGACTAATTATCCGTTAATATGTTGGGAATTAAAAATAAACATGTACAAACCAATCAATGAACATGACAACGAGTTGTCCAACATGTTCATCACCCTCAGACCTCCACTAATAATCTCACATTAAAAAAAAATAATCGTGTAAAAAAAAAACCTGTATTATAACGCGTAATACAAGCACATCAACTTTAACCGTTTAACGCTAAGAGTTAAATCCGATTTCCGAGTTAATTGGGGTCGGAAAGGAGAACAAGGCGTAAAATCAGGGTGACGGATACGGATAATCCAAGGGTGGTGTGATAATAGAATAAAAGGCAATAAAGATTCACATTTGGGCCCAGGGGTCAAACCCCCGTAATAAAGAGAGGCTTAGCCCCCCCTCGGGGCATTGCTATTCAGCCCTTAACAGCCCTTCTAGTAGCATAATGACACTTGTAACACCCACCGCCGGCTTCATCTACGGGATTCCGACTGCTCTTTGCTTATGAAACGGATTTAAACCTACCCATATCTCATCTTTCATATTTTTTGCCATTATATGAAACTTTTAAGAAAATACAATTTTAAAATTAAGATAATTCTAATGAATACTGAACTTTAGATCATGAACTATATGCCTTTCCAAAGTAAAACAGAAAAAAAAAGTTCTGTTTGTTTTTAACCTTCAAAACTCATATAAAAACTATAGCAAATAAAAATTAAAAATAGTAAATTTTTACAACTTACCGAGATCGTTGTGAGGCGAGTGAGGCCGTCCGGCGAAGTGGGCCAGGTGGGAAGCGAGGACTTTGCCGGATCTCGGACTTCCTGAGAGCCGGGCAAGCTCCGAGGCGTCCAAGCTGCAAAGTTCCGCACCTCGGGTCGGGAACTTACTCACGTCCGGAACGGGCTTCAGTCTAAACTCTCTTGTGATCCACCTCAACCAAGCGGCGACGTCTTCTCTCTCCCATACCATAGGGTCTAAAAAAATAATAATAATAATAAAATAAAAAATAAAATAAACTGTAAAATTTTATATTGAGGTCTGAGAGGTGGATTGTTGTTTGGTCTTCTCGGATCACGGGCCTAGCTTCGCTTGCGATAGGCCAGGATGATCCGAACAACCAAACATAAACGGTAAAGGTTTTAAGTTGAGATAAAAAAGTCAATGTCACGAGCGGGATTCGAACCCACGACCTTCGGCTCGATACGCCGGTACTCTACCACTTGAGCTATCGTGACTTTGATCCCTCCGTTGCTATTTCATTTGTCGCCGAGAATCCAATCCGATTACACGACATTTGAAAAATGACAAAAAGGAGGGAAAATTAAAAAAAGGTGGGGTTGAGATGGGAAGTTAGTGCCCGAGGGGATCGAAGTAATTTAAAAAAAATAATTACGTTTATTTCAAACACCCAAAACAATGACTTTCTAAGAAGATTAGTGACGCAACTTAAAAGTGGATCCAGTACTTCATATCAGCCTTCATTAACCACTTATAAACGAGCCGAGTAATCTTTACAAAGAAATCCTTCATGAAAAATAATGGGTCACTGCCATCTCATCCTGTTCCAACTCGGCCAACTAACCGTGTATAAATAAAAACGATGATTGTTTCAATAAAAAATACAATGACGATTCTTCGTTTTACGTTGGCGGCGAGGCAAAAATTTAGTTAGCTGGGATGAACGACCCTCATTCATCATGTTTGACGAAAAATATGTAAATCTTTAGATGAGAGAGAGAGAGAGAGAGGACCCTCATTCATCATGTTTGACGAAAAATATGTAAATCTTTAGATGATGCAATATATATGTGGCAGCACTAAATGTTTTCCATCAAACAATTAATTACTTCTAATATAATTTTTTTTTAGAATTTATCTATCTTCTATTTTTCTGCAAAGGGTGTTTTTCTCCCACGTTTCTCCATTTTTGCCTTTAAAGATTCATTGCATCTACCTGTGCTGAGCGTGCTACCTCGCCCATCACCTTTACCAGGAAATCGTTTTTGGTTGAACTAGTTTAACATCCAGAAAATAAAATTATAATAAATAATTATAATAAAGTTATAATATATCAAATATATTTCTGACAATTTGCTCTAGGTTTAATTTGTGGAAATCATTCCAAATACTTTTACGTTGTTTTTTCTGTTATTCTCTCTCTCGCTCTAGCAAACTTTTTTTCTTTTTCCTCAACTCTTTTCTATCTCACCCACACTCTTATGTCACTTTTTTCTTTCCCCACAACCTTTCTTTACNCTCTCTCTCTCTCTCTCTCTCTCTCTCTCTCTCTCTCTTTCTCTCTTTCTCTAACGAACGGTGTTCTTTTTCCTCAACCCTTTTCTATTTCCCCCTCACTCTTATGTCACTTTTTCCCCTCAAACTTTATTTTTCTCCATCTCGCTCTATCTCACTTTTTTACCCCTCAACCTTCTTCTCTATCCCCCAGTCCCCCAATCTCACAATTTTTTTCCTCAACCTTTCTCTATCTCCCTCTCACTCTTATATCACATTTTTTACCTTTCAACCTTCCTTTTTCTGACCCACTCTACTTTACAGTTTCTTTTCCCTCAACCTATCTCTATCTCCGGCTCGTTATCACACTTTATTCTTTTCCCTCAAACCTTCTGTCTTTCTCCCATTTGCTCTAACACATTTTTAACCCTCCACTTTCCTCTATGCCATTTCTTCTACTCCTTCAACCTTTTTCTCGCTCCTTCTATTTTTTCGCTCAACCTCTCTCTCACCCTCTCTCTCTCTCCCTCTCTCTCTCTCTCACCCCTCCCTCCCTCTGACGTCGTCGTTCTTCGTCTCTCTCTCTCTTTCTAAATAATTTTTCCTTGTAAAATGGTGCCTTGTATAGCAATTTTTTTGGTCGAAGTGTTTGATATCTGGTCTTGCTCAACTGGACTTGAAATTTTTTTTATTGTAAATAATTCCCTAATTAAGGGGAAATTTCATTAAATTAATATTATTAAAATATTTTTAATAACATTATTACATATATATTTGTTTGTTAATTATTACTAGTGTACATTAAATTATTTTTGTTGCCTTGAAGCGTTATTATAATCTACAATGTAACAGGCGTTAAATACCTTGTAAAAAATGAAATTTATAATTACGATAAATTGTTATAATTAGCTCTTAGAACATGTAAGTTTAATAAGCCTTTAAATTAATAAACCATTCATTCTCTCTCTCTCTCTCTCTCTCTCTCTCTCTCTCT